GTGGTTTCATCCCTTTAAACCGTTTTTGAGCCGCAACTGCTAATTTCTAAATTCATCTATTTAGGTAAGCTACATGTATAAAAAGTTTCGTTAAGATCAGAATTTGACACTTCGCGAAGTTCCCTTGTAAGTAACGATCCTGTACGTCTCCAAGTTATTAACCAGTAGTTTTCGGAATTTCCTTGGTATCCAATAAATATTAACTTTCGAATCTTTGGTTCCAGCTTCCTTCTTGGGCTACTTATATGGAATATGGGCATGCACAGTACAATCAAATACACGGATTTTTGACAAGTCCGGTTTTTCCATGTAACATTCATAGGACATCTTGTTACTTGTGCTAAAATGATCATTTTAAGTTCAATCGTTGACGAGTACGGTTGTAATATGTTACGCTTTTTATTTTAACTTTCTAGACCATGATTTTTACATTCTCATATTATTACGTTATTTATCAATTATTTATTTATACATTTATACAAAAATGCGGTTATGTGTATTCTGATGTGTCGGAGGCTATACAATGTGTCCAGCCTTTTAACGTTTGGACGACGTTGGTGAGGAGTTTGGATAGTTTTCTCACCAACCGATTGCAGTAGGATGCACATGTTAGAATTAAGCGTGAGACCACAATTTTGTAACTGACGATGGTTAAAAATGTCAGCCGAAACATCTGATTATTTGGAAGATTAAATCTTTTATATTATTAAATTGTGATTATCACTATAACCACGCCGATTTCCATTGCCAGTTTTTATTGTGTTATTTTAATATCGAGAATCTTATAGGAATTCTTTGTTATATAAGTCTTACTTCAATTTATATTTATTACTCTATATCTCTATCTATTACTATATCTATTACGACTAACTACAATATATCTATTACTCGATTGAAAATAGATTTTATTTGTCTTAATTAAGAATCCTTTCACGTACATTTGCAGAGTTATCTGGATTATTTTTTAGAATATTATCGGATCTCTTCTATTAAACGCTTTCATTCTATTATAGGTGACAATGTCGTACATGGAGATTTACAATGAAAACATTCGTGATCTTCTCAATCCCAATTCAAGATATCTGGATCTGCGCGACGATACTCGTAGTGGCAATGTTCAAGTTTCAGGATTAACGGAAGTTTCTACTAATTCGACAGAAGAGGTATTTATACGTTTTGAATGAAATATTAAGAAGATAGATTAAATTAAAACTAATCAAAATATTCATTTTTTAAATTTTAAAACAAATAAATTGGTATCAAACATATATTAGGCCATATGCGAGCCAACACTGATGACGGTGTGTAATAATTTCTTTTTACAATATCCAACCCCACGTAGACTGCACGCCGCTCATCGGTCTTGAAATGCTTTACATGAGGCCAGAATAACTTGTAACAAATTAATTCGATTAATGATTTAATCTTTTTGATGCTATACGCATCTATATCCCCTTCCCCTCCAAATCTGTAGAATCATTTATTGCGAAAAAATCACCTCAGCTCTCAATCAGAAATCGAATCCGGATCTCCACGTTTGCCGGACAAAATAGATTGGTTTCTACACATTTTTATATATACTTTTAGTTGCATCTAAATATTCATGAAAAGCCATTAAGGTATAGTCATCTCGGTTTAAATGAGTCATCTCTCAGTTTAAATGATTAGAAGAGAATAATCACAAAATAACTAAAACAGTTAATTTTAATTTTTTAATTTATTTTTATTTTCTATCATCCGTATTCTTGATTTAAAACAGAGGAAAAAATAAATTGTTGTGATAAATATGAAATTGTGATGCAAATTGTGATCCAAAAGTATCAAAATTTTTAGTACTAAAAAATTATAATTTTATTAAAAATTAAGTGCAATTAAAGTTATTAAAAGAACAGAGATTTTACAAATTATAACTGTATACATATATTTAAAATATAGAAAGGGTTTATTTGTAAGAAAACATCGAACAAAATAGCCAATTTTACGAGAAGAAATAAAAAAAAATAATGCAAATATGTTAACTTAGTAATTAGAAAAAAAACACAAGGATAGGTAATATAGAGGAGAGTGGGCATGAAAGAATCATGTTTTGAAAGAGTTAATTCGTATTTCAACTAACTGAATGTAGCTAAAAATTTAAAAATACTTTTATTTAGCAACACTGAAACTACAACATCTAGGCATTTGACAGTCAACATCAAAATATAAGTGCTGTGTAGTGAGAGGTGAAAGATTACGACGAAAAGTAAATTTATGATTTAAATTTCTATATGTCTTTTGAATTTATTTGCGATTAACTTTTAGAAAAAAAAACTTTTTAAACTTTACTTTTAGAAAGGATTTTAAGAAAAAATATTTTTTAAATCAAATGTTACATACATTAACGTAACTAAAAACGTAGTTAACAATTCTTTTGTTTGTTTTAGTTTATCAGATATTTGATTTGATTTTTGACACATAACGTTGTGAAAGAGCCAATAAATATTGGTAGCTATGAAAAAATCAGCTCTTTTGTTACTTTGGTAAATATTTCGATGAAGAGAGACTGCTCCAATGATTTTGACCTTGACATATGTATTATTATGACCCTGAGTAACCTTCAACAGATTTTAGTCGCCGCTCGTCCTTTGTTAAAAAGTTATTAATAAAAAACGTTATGAACATTAACGGTAATTATTCACATTAGGAAATCTCCAATGATCTTGATTTTGACATATTATCAAGGTCATGACCTTGAGTGGCCTTTGATAAGTTTTAGCTATTTTACTTTACAACGCGAAGCGAGGTCCAACCCTTCCCTCCCCCCTATGTACGGGGCGAGACGAGGTCTACAACTGTATTGTTCTACATGGGTTTAAGAGTTTCTACGCAAAATGAGTTCCAATCCTCTCCTCCCCTCCGTGTAAACCCATATGAAACAGTACAAATATAGACCTTGTTTCGCCCCGTACATAGGGGGAAAAGAAGGGTTGGACCTCGCTTCGCGTTGTAAAACAAAATAGCTAAAACTTATCAAAAGTTACTCAAGGTCATGACCTTGACAAAATCTATTAAAGATCATTCAACATATGCCAAGGTCAAGGTCATTGGAGATTCCCTATAATAAATATATAATTACCGTTAATTTTCGTAACTTTTTTTATTAATAACTTTTTAACAAAGAACTTGCGACGGCTAAAATCTGTTGAAGGTCACTCGGGATCATGACCTTGACAACATATGTCAAGATCCATGACGTTGAAAACATATGCCAAGGTCAAGGTCATTGGAGCAGCCTCTCTTCATCGAAATATTTATCATTGTATTTTTTTAGAATGGGGTAATCGCATGATCAGTTTATTTAATATTTGCAGGTTATGCAACTGTTACACAGAGGTAACAAAGCAAGGACAATGGAACCGACCGCCGCGAATAAAACTTCATCACGAAGTCATGCACTTCTCAGCGTTATGATCAAACAAGTCTCCCATCGGGTTCAAGATGATGGTCAACGTGTGCGCAACAAAATGAAGCAGGGAAGATTATTTATGATCGATCTTGCCGGATCCGAACGGGCTAAGCAAACAAAGGTAATTTTTTTTTTCAAATTTCATTTTTTTTTTCGAATTAGAATGTTTAATACAATAGGTAATATTTTAGGTAATATTTTCAGTTTTTATTTTTAAGCTTTTACTTTAGTATTAAGAAGTGATAACTTTATTCGAGTTTTTTTTTTGATAAAATAAATAATCTTTCTAAAGATTGATTTTAGCAAATATTTTTCACAAATTTATTAATATTTTACTAACTTTAAATAATTTATATATTTGATTTTGAATAACTTTTTAAATAAGAGCCTACACATATAAACAACACATATTTACAATTAATTTTCACTGCTGTATGCTTTGATGCTTGTGTAATCATTTAAAAATCGATGATTTTTTTAATGATAAATATTTCTTGTAAAGTTAATTATATTGGAAAAAATAAAAAATAATTAAAATAATGCCATTGTAAAATAAAACACTTAAATTTTATTTACATTCCATACTAAAAAAAAAAACTAAATATAAAAATAAAAACATTTGTAAAATATATCTTAATTTTTTAATTTAAAAATACGATTTTTTATTTAATTAAAAAAACGAAATTTTTTAATTACTAGAACAAAATCAAGCGCGCGTCATTTATTTACTATCCCTGAAAAATAACACCCTCCCCCCCCCACCCACACACACACACACGCATGCACTCACGCACGCACGCACGCATGTACGCATGCACACTCAAATACAAATATCATATTAAATATATCATTACTTTTATACATATATCTCTTACATATATCTCATGTCCTATTTAAAAAAAAGGTATGTTAAGTCGATAACTCCCATTTATCATCTTACTTTTTTCTTTTAGGTATCAGTTTTTGTTTAACAAAATATTTTAATACTGCTAACAATATCTTTTGTAATCAACAGATATGTAGAAACATGTTTTTTACAATGATTAAGAGAAAAAGGAATTAAAGGAATAAAATAGCGATAGAAGGAAAAAAAAGTATAAGATTTTTGAAAAAGAGAATTAAATTCATTGGTCTTTTATAAAATATTACATAAGTACATGTCGCTTCACCTTCATGTGTTACATACATAATTGTCAGATGCTGTGTCTAATTATCACAGCAAATAATTAGAC